CCCCGGAAAGAGGTCTGAGGGAACTCAAAACTGTCATGTCCCTGCCAAGGCAGTGGCAGAGCCAGTAGTCATCAGCAGACCTTTGGACCATCATCACTCCCTGTCTTCTGTCTCAGGCCACAGCACAGACCTGATTGGCTCGCTTCAGCCAAATCAGGTAGCATCTGTCCGGCATCAGCTCTGAACAGAACCAGTCATCTATGTTTGTGCAGGAGCCCACAAACTCCTTGAATCGCTTGTCATCCAGGTAGAGAGGGACTTGTCAGAACTGTGAAGAATGGGGAGCCTGAGGATACCAACATGGATTGAGAATTTTCTGCTGCATATGGATAGTGTTAGGTGTTTTTATGGTTTATCTCCTGTGTCTCCTTTACTGCTTTATAAATGTTGATGATTGGAGCTAAAGATAAACTAAATAACAGGTACCTATCCCTTCCAAATCAGTTCCAAAGCTGACCCCAGGCCCTTTATCAGTAGCAGTAATAGTAGTACCCTTCAGTGTTCTTGCTTTAGAATGTTGCATGCCTGACCATCGAGTTTATTGCAAACCCAGCTGTAGAAACTGTCTTCTCTAGAATCCCAGTCCCTGGTATAGCCTATGATTTCCTTGTAAACAGTGCCACCTGCTGATTAGAACATGCCAGTTCATCTGAGATCTCTTTTTCTAATGGGACAAAAGCTAACAGATTTCCTCCAGTTTATCCTTTTTTCCACTGAATTTACAGAAAAGATGTCTTCTCTACCCCCATATTAGGTAAATGGGCTGGTAGGCTGATGAGAGTTTCTCTATATACTGCTTGTGAAATGGCTTTAGATTCAGATTGGAGTTTCAGCAACCCATGCACATGAGCACAGGACTGGAACAAGAAGTACAAATGCCAAAGGCTTAACTTCAGGCCTTTTCTACTAAAGTTGAGTCTCCTCTTCTCTCTAAAGCCTGTAACAGGTGTAACCCCAGGGGTAAGAGGTGGAGGTATCTTTGGGGTAAAAGGTATTGCCACAGTGTAGAATAAAAGCCTAGCTGAAAATTCATCTTTAAGACAAACAGAACAAAATTTTTAATGTGTAAGTATAAAAATGATAATCACTAAAAATAATTTTCAGACAAATAATGACATCTTACTGAGATTTAAATTGGCTTTAGCTCTGGGAAGCAGAGTGGTGAAGCTGAGGGCAATGAGCTTTAGAAACCAACTGACCTGTGTTTGAATATCTGTTACTGGTAAATTAATGATCTTGCTAGAGCCTCAGATTTCTGTAAAAAAAAAAAAAATAATGACAACATTCACTCCTGGGATCTGAGGATTATTCAGTATTATATACCACATTCAGTTAAATGAATGTCGAGACTTACTTAGAGAAGAGTATAACCCTGGGTTCCAAAAAGGTATCCCTTTACTTTTCCACTGTAAATTTTTATTAATAGTATAAATAGTAGCCATGCATGCATCTCACTAGCTACAGGAAGCAGCCTTAGTGTTTACCCACTTGGTTACCACAAAAGGCAAGGTGTGTGCAAAAGTGTCAAACCAGGATTTACACCCAAGTGATGCTCTAACATGTTTTGCATATGTTCACCTGAGCGTCGTGAGGCTGTAACACACCCATACCACTCTAGAATTTGTTTTTTAAGAAGTGTTCTTCTGATTTTTCTGGTAGAAATAGCCCAGTTCAGTAAAGTGGAACATGAAAAACCAGATTTGCAAGGTCAAAAGTGAATCATCAGATTACTCGTGCATGGATGATAAAGATGATCCATTATGGTAAAATACATGTTTTTATAACAGAAGAGAGGTGTGGGTGGATGATGATGATGACAATGACAACAATCAGTGACAGTGATGACAATGACTTTGATACTGGCTATGTGAGCCAGAGTTCTTGTGACAATAAAATAGAGCAAGAATCAACTGATACAGACATAGGGAATACAGACTTCCTTGATACAGATGGGAAAGAAAACAGCAATGTTTGACTAGTCAAAATGTTACAAACAGGATACAACCAAATGGAAGATCCAGTGTTAAAACTAGCTCCAAAAATATAGTGAGGATCTTGGCAGGGTTGAAACACACTAGACAGAGTGCCAGCACTGCTGTTTAGTGTTGGGAATTATAACAGACGAAATGCTACAAGATGCTGTAAAATACACAAAGGCTGAAATACAAGTAAGACATCTATAGGCACTAATAGCCATATTAAAAATGTGTTTATCATAACATTTCACTAGCTGAACTGAAAGCATTTATAGGTCTGCTGTACTTAGCAGGGATTTCTCTGGTAATCGCAGGAATATAAATGACTTATGGAAAAATGATGGGTCAAGGTGTAGCATAAATACTGATACCCTTGCAGATGTGAAGATTTATTATGTTTCAGTTTAGGCTTTTATCCTGGAACTCAGCCATCAGGCCCTTATTTGTATAGTAATACACCAAATGATGTAAACAGATTTATTGCTCCCATCTTCCAAACTAATAAGAATGTGACATTTGACAGTTTAACAGTTTGCAATTGATGTTACATTTGCTAACAGAGTACAAGTTAACCAGCACAGAAACTGTACACAGGAACAAAGCAGAAATTCCAAATGAAATGTTGCAATTTCAAAACAGAGAATTGTGTAGCATGACTTTTGGATTTCAGAAAGATTTACATTGGCCTCATACACAACAAAGAAGAAGCTAGTACTGCTGATGTCAACATTTCATCATGATGGAAATACAGATAGGGAAACCCTGACAAAACAAAAGCCTGAGATGGAAACTTTCTACAACAAAATCAAAGGTGGAGTGGATATTGTTAATGAATTATACAGCAACTGTGATGTCACTTAAAATACAAAGTTGGCCAGTGATTGTGTTTTACTTGACCCTAACCGTGGGACATAAATAGTTTGATAGTTTACAATGAAAATAACAAGACAAAATACCATGGAGAAATTTTCTTAGAAGATTGGGAGTGGAACTCTTGGTCATTTACAGAAGAAGGAAAAACAAAGTGTTTCTGCCCAGGGAACTATGCAAAGAATTGTGGAGCACATTGGTGAACTGAGAGGTGAACAAGCAGGCACAGCATCACAAAAACCTACTGCGACAACAGGAAAACCAAAAGGATGTCAACTGTGCCCTACAAGAAAGGACAGGAAAACAAAACAGATGTGGCAGTATAAGTGATACTTGTGTATGGAACATGCAGTTTTCATATGTGAAGACTGCCTTAGGTGTGACATTTGAAGCAAATACTGTATTTTTTATAGAGTTCTATTGGTATTTTCATTATAGTTCACATAAGTTTTTATTTCTGATGTTATCTCTTAAATTTTTTAAGCAAGTACACAGCTGATGTGAAAATGTTGTCTAAGTACTCATTAGACATTTGATGTTTTATTGATATCCTGTTTCCTTGCTAACCTCACATTATATAGCATAGTATAACAAGGTATGACACAGGATAACATAGTATGACAAAACAGGAAGAGAGGGGACAAGAATGGCCTGCTACATAGGAAAGTTCAACTCAGTGTGCTATCAGTGTAAATGAGACGTGTGTGGAAAGTGCGGTTGTCATATGACTGCCTTGGGTGTGACAGTTGAGGCAAAGATGGTTTCTGTGGTAGACTTTTTGTGTTTACATCATAGCTCACAAAGGTTCTTACTTCTGATGTTATCTCTTAAATTTTATAAGGAAGTACACAGCTGATGTGAAAATGTTGATGTTTATTGGAAACATTCAGTATATATTAAGAATCTAATAATTTATTTTATTGATATTTTATGTTCCTGCTAACTACACGTTGCATAATATAGTAAGAACCTCCCAACAAAACATCAAGACCAGCTACAAAATGGCCAGGAAAACATAACACATGTGCCATCAGTGTAAGCGATACGTGTGTATGGAACATGCTGTTGTCATGTGTGAAGACTGCCTCAGGCATGATCATTGAAGTAAAGATTATTTTTTTTGTAGCATGCTATTGATTATTTCATTGTAGTTCACATAGGAATTTATTTCTGTTCTTTTTTAGACTTTGTACACCAAAAAACCAGTTGATGTTGAAAATTGTGATACTTTACATTATTGTTGTGATTTTTTTTTTTCCTGTTAAGCATTTTTTTTCTTTTTTCTTTTTTTTTTTTTTTAAATCTTTTTAAGACAGGGTCTTGATATGCAGTTCAGGCTGGCCTTGTGCTCACTTTGTAGCCCACGCTGGTCTTGAACTTGCAACAGTCCTCCTGCCTCAGCCTCCTGAGTGCTGTGATTACAGGCTTGTGCTACCATGCCCGGCAGCACTCATTGTTGAATGTAATAAAACTCGTAAAATTAAAATTAATAATTCCTCATAAATATTCTAAAGAATAAATGAGGATTCCACACACCCATGGTTATTAGCTTTTATGACAAAAAAAAATGTGTTATGCTCCACATTAAATACATCTCTTTCAAAATGATGGTACCAGTAACAGTCGTAGCTAGGGCCATGTCTCTATCAGACTAAACAATTTTATTAATACAGTATTGTTCTAGAACAAGCATTACAATACTTGAGTTACCATGTGGCCTCTTTCTTACAGTTTTACATTGAAGGAGCAGAAAGAAAAAATGGGGATCTTCAAGTTTAGATTTTAAATGGGGTAACAGTAGAGGCGAGTATTAAAGATGTGGGCTTAAAAGAATTAAGTAGACAGTCCCATTCACTAGTACTGTGAACTTTGAGTGAGTGTTAGATTCTTCCCATGCACAAATATGTGGATCTAATTATGTAAGTACCAAATGAAGGAACATGCATAAAGCATCTAGCATGAAACAGCAGCAAGTAAGAGGCACCACTTCGTAATTACAACAAGAAAACAAAATGCAGAAACAGGAGCCTGGATGTTGTAGGGGTAGCAATGTGTAGGAAGGCAAAGAGCAATCCCCTTTAGTTAGGATGTGGGTCATAAGCAGCTCTGAGCTTAACCTGGGGACCTAGACTCACAGTGACACTCTGTCCTCAGGTGGCCACCATGTCCTTGAAGATCCAGACAAGCAATGTAACCAACAAGAATGATCCCAAATCTATCAATTCTCGAGTCTTCATTGGAAACCTAAACACAGCTGTGGTGAAGAAATCAGATGTGGAGACCATCTTTTCCAAATATGGCCGTGTGGCCGGCTGTTCTGTGCACAAAGGCTATGCCTTTGTTCAGTACTCCAACGAGCGCCATGCCCGGGCAGCTGTGCTGGGAGAGAACGGACGAGTGCTGGCTGGGCAGACCCTGGGTAAGCTAACCCTCTCTTAAAAAGGTATCTACTAGCATACTGCAAAGTAGCTAGTATCCTTTATTCACTTCTCCTATGAGTCTCCTTTAGCCCTACCACCACTTCCATTCCTCTGAAATATTATAACTGGTTACAGGTTGTATTTAAATTGTAGATTAAGTTGTTACAAAGTCCTAGGAGAGAATTCTAGAAGCTCCTAGAAAATGCTAGTGTCCTGTCCCTGCTTTCTGTTTTTGTTTTGCTTTGTTTTTTTGAGATAGGATCTCATTCTGTAATTCAGGCTAGCTTTGCACTCACTATGTAGCCCAGGCTGGCCTTGAACTTGCAGCGATCCTCCTGCAAAAATACTTCCCTCTGAAGTGCTGGGATTACAGGCGTGTGCCACCACTCCTAGCTTCTCACTGCTTCATAAGCTTTACAGTTCTATTTAAAGTGCAGATTCCCCCCAGAAAGAGGGAACAGAGTAGACTTAGCATAGCCTGTTACCCCAGCCTATAGGTGGCTCAGGTGGGAACCCTTTTTGAGAGCCAGGAGAAAGAGTTAGGAACACAAGAACAAAGCAGGGCAGGTCTCCTTGGCCTTGGTGGTACATTGTGTGGTACACATGTGACCAACCATACACTGGTGGTCTGCCTTTCAGTATGTATGTATTGTTATGTACGTATGTGGAGACATACCTTTGTGTGTTTGTGTTAGAATACACTTGAGTACATAAGAGAAGCATGTATTCATTTGCCAGTGTTTCTTGAGATGATTTCATGTGCTGAGCACTGTTCTGGACACAAAGGTATTTGGTAGGAGATCCATGAGAGTATGTATTGGCCTTCTTGAATGTGTGCAATTAAGTATATAATTTTGGAGTCACAGCCAGGCATGGCGGCACACGCCTATAATCCTAGCACTCGGGACGCTGAGGCAGGAGGATTGTTGCAAGTTGGAGACAAACCTGGACTACAAAGTGAGCTCAAGGCCAGCCTGAACTGCATAGCGAGATCCTGTTCAAAAAGACATGTTTTGGAGCCAAGTCTGAATGTGCTTGAGATACCAGTGCTGTTGGTGTGTATGATTGGGTGTGACAGTGTGTCTGTATGTGTTTCCATGTATCTGATGTATGCATTCTCAAGTATGCTTATGTAATCATGAGCATCATATGTGTGATTGGTTTGGTAGTATATGTGCATGTGTCTTGAGTGTCTAGAATATATAAATAGGCATACCCATGTGATGTCTGGGTATGAGCCTGATTTTTGAAGACTAAATGTGTGAAGGCCTTTGTTTCCCACCACTGTACCATCTCTATGCCATGTAAGTGCGTGAATGGGGTGTGTGTGCGTGATGGAGGTACGTGCACAGGCATACTGCTGCTGTCAGGCCAGCATATTCAGTCTGCTTGTTCATTTCCCACAGACATCAACATGGCTGGAGAGCCCAAGCCCAACAGACCTAAGGGGCTAAAGAGAGCAGCATCTGCCATCTACAGGTGGGGCACTCTGTCTGTCTTTCTGTCTGTCTGTCTTTGTAGGATGGGTTCCTATTTCCACAGAGGGAGTAAATTGCTGGTAGTAACTGTCCTGAGCCTAGAAGTTGGGGAGGCATTTGGAGTTGAGGGCCTATGGAAAGTGGGCTGAGTGGCCACCCCTAAGCTCCAGCCCTCTCCCCTTTGTTTCCCCAGTGGCTACAGCTTTGACTATGATTACTACCGGGACGGCTTCTACGACAGGTGAGCAGGGGAGGGGCGTGCCCAGGCATGAAACAGCCAAGCTGGAAGGGTCCTGAGAGATTGCTGGTGCAGCCCATTAAGTCTTCCAATTGGGAATGGAAGCCCACAACTATTGCCAGGCATTTGCCCAAGGTTGCTCCACAAGTCAGTGACAGAGCTGGAATTAGGGTCCAGTTGCAGGTGCCCAGGCCAGAGTTCCCATCATCACACTATCTTGTCTTCCAGTCTGAGTCTGACTTGCCTCCATTCTGATGAGACACCAGGGGACTGTATACCCAGGGGATACATAAATATAGCCAGCTGGATTGTAAAGTAGTACAGTGCTGGTTGCAGGGAGTTGGAGTCCTCATACTTCTGCTTTTCAGTCTCCTTAGCCCTGTGAGGTGTCCAGCCAGCCTAAAGGGAACCTTAGAGCTCGGCCTCTTACCCTTCTATTTGTAGCCATTCGGAGGTCTGAGTTAGTCCCTGGTGGTGCGTGTCCCACTCTCCATACCCAAGCCTACCCAGACCCCAGCCTTGAAGCTGTGTGCTCCCATGCCAGTGGCACTAACCATATTGTGGAGTATAAGTTGTGGTCAGTACTGGCCCAGTTCTTTCCTCTTCCTTGCTTCTCGTCCCCCCTCTGACTTACCCACCCCAGGCAGTCCAGGAAAAACCACCTTTTTGAGCCTTGAAACTTCTCACCCAGGAGTGGTTTCAGGAGCCATTGTGCTGCAGTTGAAATGCCGTAGCCTGGGAGTCAGAAGATTTAGGTGTTGATTCCAGTTCTGCCACTGAGTGAATTATGTGACTTTAGGCATTCTGTGAAATGGGCTTGCACCAAATCATCCCTCAGGGCTCCTCTAGCTCTGGGATTCTGTGGTTCAGTGATTCTGACCAAGGCCAGAGCCGCCCCCTCCCCTAGGGGGTAGAAGTATAGGGTCCAGGATTGGATCTATTCCCAGAGACTCCATCTCTAGTCATCACCATCCCCAGAGCAGGAACTTCCTGAACAAAGGGGTGCCACAAATGGTGCTTTTCAGTTGCCTGGTGGTAGCATATGGCATGAGGAAGTAGTACCAGAGTGTACCCCTGACCAAGGCTGTGGTTCTCTGTAGAATAGTGGTAGTAGCAGATGTGGGAGAGACATCTGCTAAACCTACTGAGCTTCTATCTGGTCAGCTGAAAAGGAAGCCCTGGAAAGGGCTGAGTGGTAGTGCTGATCCGGCCCAGGCATCTGATTGAGTTCCCCAGCCCTGATGGTCCAAGGCCCTGTCCAGCCTTGGTTTCCATCTTGAAAGTGGAACAAGAAAGGTGTTGAGGTGTCCAGAATAAAGGAAGGAATTAGAGTCTAGCCTCACATATCTGAACTTCTGACTCCAGTTTAAGGACCCTGGAATTTTGCCTGGCACAAATGGTAGTGTGTTTTTAACCAAGTTGTCTTATTGTCTAACCCCAAGCTGACTTGGCACTGAATTTAATAGCCATCTTCATTAGGCAGAAGGGAAAACTGAGTCAGCTCAGGCAGACTCAGGGATTCCCACCTGTACCCAGCCCCACCCCCACCCCCATTTTGGGGATTTGTACTGCTTGGAGATGTGCAAACTCTCACCAGAGGTTGGGGTGGCAGAAGCCAAGTTGTATAATAAGGCAAGTCTGGGTCTGAGAAGGCTCCTTCTGGGGCTGGTCTGTTTGCTCCTCTGTTGACTTGGGACCAATTCCACCTGATGCCTCTCCTGCCAACACCTGGCCAGGCTGGCTGGAAAGGTAGATATAGAGAGAATACCAGCCACCATCAGGGCCCGGAAAGCCTTCACAGGGGCTTTAGGTGCAGGCAGAGGTGTGCAGTGCCTGCCCCTCAGCTCCTCAACTAGCCAGATGTGTAGGGTTGAGCACTGCAGTGCTCCCTGGTGGTCACAGGCCGTACTGCAGCCGCTGGCCTGTTTGCCTTCACAGGCTCTTCGACTATCGAGGTCGCTTGTCGCCCGTGCCCGTGCCCAGGGCAGTTCCTGTGAAACGACCCCGTGTCACAGTCCCTTTGGTCCGTCGTGTCAAAACTACCATACCTGTCAAGCTCTTTGCCCGCTCCACAGGCGTGACCGCTGGCTCAGCCAAGATCAAGTGTGAGTGACTCCGTCTTCTTGGAAAATTTATATTTTTAACATTAGTAAATAATAGAATCACATTTTTTAATATGGGAAAATAGAAAAAAGGAACAAATTTCCCACAGATCTGCTGCTCTAACACAACCAATATTTCGTGTATTTCTGAGAGGAAAAGGCTGACATTCGAGGAGGTGGGGCTTAACGTGAATGTCATGTAGTGCTGTTCCGTGGTGCCAGGTGGTAGAATTACCTTTCCTCTAGTAAGGACAAGGCTAGGACTGCACAGGCCCGCCACCGCACGTTCTTCCTGACGTTCAGGCGCTCAGCAAATCCGACTACACAAGACTGTCCTTTCACACAGTGTAAGATAAATTCCCAACTTCAAACAGAGACGTGTTCTTGCTGAGGTGCACACGGGAGCATATCCCGATCCTGAATTCCTGTTCCTTCTCAGTCCCTTATAGATTGAGAGGTCTGAGAGAAGAATGGCCAGGTTCAGAAGCATGGGCTGCTCACTCTGGGGGTGGTCTCCAGGCCCTGGCCAGGAAAAGAATAAGAATCTGCCTTTCTGATCAACAGAATGGGATTGGAGCTTTGTTAGGTTTAAGCCCCCAGGTGACAGCCCTGTCCTCCCAATTCCTAGTAAAGAGCAGTGAGCTGCAGACCATCAAGACAGAACTGACACAGATCAAGTCCAACATTGACGCTCTGTTGGGCCGCTTGGATCAGATCGCTGAGGAGCAAAAGGCCAACCCAGGTCAGCCTTTGAGGGTCCTCACCCAGCTCAGTGACCAGGGGCACAAGGCAGAGATGGGGTGGGGGTGGAGTTGTCAAAGGCTGGGGTGGGGGTCAGGTGTGGGGTGGGGTCATTGCGGCGGTGGGGGTCAGACGCAGGGGTGGCCTCCAGTCTCAGAGCCCTGCAGATCCCAGCGTACTCGGACTCATGTTGTGGAGACCAGTCTCTGCCAAGGGTGCCGCACAGCTGCTCCAGGCTGAGTTTTAGTCCCTTTTCCTCCCCCTCAATCCTCAAGATGGCAAGAAGAAAGGCGACAACAGCGGTGGCGGTGGTGGTGGCAGTGGCAGTGGTGGTGGCAGTGGCAATAGTGGCGGCAGCAGCAGTGGTGGCGGTGGCAGCGGTGGTGGCAGCACCAGCAGGCCACCCCCACCCGCAGAAGACACACCCGAGGCAGGCACAGCCCAGGAAGAAGCCCAGACTCGAGATGACGGTGATGAGGAGGGGCTGCTGACGCATAGCGAGGAAGAGCTGGTGAGGGCCTGGTCGGCGCGACTAGGCGGGGCTGGGACGAGACTGTGCACTCCAGCGGCAGGGGTGGAAGGAGGGCAGGGGAGGCACTCTGAGCTGGTTGCTTCTCTGTGAGCTCTCTCCTTTCTGCCTCCCAGGGGTTCTAGTCCCGTGGAGTGAGGGGAAAGTGAGCAGGGCACAGTTAGCTATTGCTAACCACTCAGAAATCCCCCGTAAGAACTAAGGCAGGCCTAGGTAACACCCAGGGCCCATTTTGGCTTCTGTTCTCCATGTGGGATGGAAAAGGAGAGAATTAGGCTCCAGGGGAACACACAGTCTGCAAAGTTTCAGAGGGCAGGATTGGGGGATGCCATAGGAAGGGAGTGGGTGTCAGTTGCACGAGAGGATTTTCCAAAGATCAGGCTGTGGTTTTTTTGTTTGTTTCTTTGTTTTGCATTGTTTTGTTTCTTGAGACAGGGTCTTGCTGTGTTTGTAGTTCAGGCTGGCTTTGAACTCACTGTGTACCCCAAGCTGGCCTCAAATGTGCAGCAGTCCTCTTGTCTCAGTGCTGGGCATGGGCTACCACTCCTGCAGGCTGTTTTGTAAAGGAGTGAGCTCCTGTCTGTGTTGCAAGTGCTCAGGCTGAGGCTGCCTAGCATACATTGAGTGAGACAGTGGACCAGACTCTTGAGTCTGTGAGATACCTGCTGTATACTTGCAGCTTGAATACTTCATGAACATTCGCTGAGCACCAGCACAACAGTGTCCATACTTGCTAACTTGGTTAATCTTAGCAGCAGACCTGCACTGCTCAGAGTAGTATTGTTCCTATGTTTCACCCTCTGAAGAAAACTGAGGCCTGGAAGGGTTAAACAGCTTGCTCAGGGCTTTATAGCTAATAAAGCCAGGCCAGTGTTGGAGCCCAAACTTCTTCATTGGGTTTTCATTTGTCCTTTTCATCACTATTGGGCTCTAGCATGTGGACAGATAGGCGCACATGGCCATGCCAATCAAGAAGTCTTCCGCATGTCCAGATCATTTCTTTCTTTGAACCTAGCCTGATATTTCTATCTTATTCTCTTGGGCTTAGTAGTCTCCATACAGTCTCCAGTGAAGACTTACATAGATGCTCCAAAGATAGGGACCCCAGCAGTCTCCAAAGCTTTCAGCCTGCTCTGGTCCACAGAAGTGTGCTGTGTGCCACTTCTACAACACTGTCTTGCCCCTTCTGTCTCCTGGGTGGCCCTTCAGTCACCTCAGGATTTCAAGCCAGCGTTACTGGCTGATTCATAGTCATTTCTCTTATCCTTCCCCTTTCAGACTGGGTCTTCCAGATGTTCTCTGGGCCCCAGGACCTTTCCATATAGATGGCTCAGGGCAGAACTCAGAGCTTGCAGGGAGTGATATGTGGTTTCTGCTTGCTTTCTCCTTCTCAGGAGCACAGCCAGGACACAGATGCGGAGGATGGGGCCTTGCAATAAGCAGGTACGGTGGTCTTGGGGGCAGAGGGAGGGAAGCGGTGAAGTGAAGGTGTGCATTTCCCCTGAAGCAGACCTGGTAAGGCTGCACTGGATCAAGAATGAAGGTCCTTCCACATCCACCCATCATGCCATGTCCCTCTGACAGGAGTTTGACAGGTGGAGGAGCAGGTGCCATAAGCCTGCCCAGCAAGGGTCCTCAGCACACTGTGTGAGCCATGTTACCTGCTCTTCACCCTTAAGGAGGTCCTTGTCTGGGGGCAAAGACACAAACCATTGCAACCCAGTATGAGCAGAAGGACAAGAGAGGGAAGCCCAAGTGAAGGAAGAAATGATATGTAGCCGAACCTGCTCACAGTTGAGGGAGCGGCATTTCACACCAAGGGATTAGCCTTAGCAGAGACGCTGTGCTCTGACAGTCCTGGGAGTGTGGTGAGGCCAAGAGCCTCCTGTGCTGTAGTCCAGCTTTGCATAGTAGGGAAAAGACATTGTCATCAAAGAGTGATGATGACTGTGAAGTGTCCTGTGTGTTAGGCTTAGGGGCTTGGACTTGATCCTGTTGAGAAAAAATGCCCTGTGTGACAGGAGCTACACCTTCTTTATGTAATTTCATCTTCAACTCTGCTGCAAGGGTTGTGCCAGTATTAACAGACATAGAACCTGAGGCCCTGATGGGTGAAGGGATACCATATTTCTCACAGGCTCCTAGGGGAGTAATGGGTGGAGCTTAGATTTGAACCACATAGTATACAGCCTTAAAGCTCACTCTCTGGCCGCTGTCTACCACCTTGCTCTGTTCTAATCTAGAGGAAGGTGGGGTCATACTTAACTCTGCCTACTGTCTGACCCATTCCCTTGGGTTCACGTTCAGAATAAGGTGGGCTTGCTAGAGGAAGGTCTCAGAATTCTAGTGCTCCCAGGGATCTCTTGATACATGACTTACTCATGCTGTTAGGTACTCCATCAGCAAAGGCTTCCAGAACAGTTAAGTTTAGGAAATTCCTCATGCATAGTCTTTTCTCTTGGAACTTCATGACTTGTTTTGCCTGGGAAGCTAAGTTTTACTTCGGAAACTCGTTCGAAGGATGGGTGGGAGGGGCTCAGGTGAGGACATAGAAGGGGGTGGAGGCTCTCCACGGTTGCATAGCCAAAAACATGATCACATTGTAAGGCCAGAGCCATAGTGTAGGTGTATCTGTAGACCTCATTCCACCCTTTCTTCCTTACCCTGGGTCCTTTTCTCTGAGCCTTAGTCTCTTCTTTGTCTCTGTTTCTCAGCCTGACAGGAGCATTGGCCACCAGCAGAAGGGCATCACTGTCCAAGGCCTCATGCCAGGGACCCACCCCCTGGATGCCAACTTGTAGCGGGTACCCGAGGAAAGCTGGCAGCAGGCACTCCTGCCCCCCAATGCATCCCAGGCCAGTGCCACATCTTCTGCAGGTGGAGTTACCAGCTACCCCTTCCCCGTGCACCCTCCCTGTCTGCACTGTCCAGGCCAGAGGACAGAGCACAGGGGGTTCCCCACACTCTGCCTCCCCTCCCCAGGACATTCCTAGGCTTGGGGGTTTTCTATAGGTTTGGAGGGGGGTGGTACAGGATGGGGACCTTGACAATAAAGAGATTGGATCCAGCCTGCTCTGAGATGAGAATGGTTTGTGGTTTTTGGTTTTTGCATGGTGGTATCCCAGCCCTTCTGTCCACCACAGAGCTGCCCTGATGAACCAGTTCTGTCCTGACCTTTACTTGCTGCCCAAGGAACACTATAGAGCAGTGAGGGCAGACCTTCTAGAGTTTTCACTGATAAATAGCCCACTGCATCACAGGTGCCATAGGTTCACCATCACTAATCTAGGGTGTCTAATACTCATCTGTATGGGTCTTAGTTTCCTCAGCTCAAATGATTAAAAAATGGCAAGTAGGACTGCTGCAATGGCAAGTCTGACTGCTGTCAGATATGGTAGCACACATGAGCGTTCCTTGCTAGCTGAAGTGCCAAGGGATTGTGAGCCTTTTGCCATCCAGTAGTAGACTGTAGTTTAATTTCTTCCCTCCGCTTCTCATTAAATGTTCCCATCTAAAATAATACTAGAATCTGCCACTTCGTCTACCTTTTGTCCTTAGGACACCACTTTTTTTTTTTTTTTTTTAATTGAACTTGGTCCTCTCACCAGCTCCTCCCATTTCTCACCACCCATCCACAGTGGTTGCCCTGCCCACCTGCCTCTCTCCCCTCCCCTTTCCTTCTGCCGCCCCGCCCCATTGGTTACACAGAAAAGGGCTATGAAGGAAACAAAAACAGAACAAAAGGTGGATTGATCATTTCAAACTTAATTTCCCTTATTGCTCAGGCTCTCAGCTAGATCAGAATGTGGCCAGAATCTAGGCATTTGTGGTACTCTTGAGTCACCATTATTTGGGGCTTATAAAGATCGCCAAATATCCTGGATTTGATGTAACCACCACTGTCAGGTCACCCACAGAAACTACTGACTGAAACTCACATAATTGTAGCTGCCAGTTGTATAGCATACCTTCCACCAGGGCCTTGAGTCCAGGGTTTGGTGGAGGAATGAGGGCTGGGCATAGGATAATGTGCGGCCCCCCAGGAATAGCAGCTCCCAGCGAAGTCTGTTTTCTCCTGCATTCAGTACAAGGGGGAGAGGCTTTCCTGGGTGTACTACCAAAATTCTTACATAGATTCCATTATCCTGTTTACCCCGGATAATAATCCCTTAGGAATGAATATATTCACCCTCTGTTATAGATTAGGAAATTAAGATTTAGGTTGAATAATTTGTCCAAGCTCATGTATCCTTGGAAGTAGAGGCATGATACACATCCCTACTTCCATCATAAGTGACTCTGTAATGTTGGCCTTGATTTTTTTTTTCCGTCTTTGGTACTAGGACTCAAACTCAGGGTCTCCTGCTTGCCAGCAGGTGCTGCACTGCTGAGCTACATCCCCTGCCCATGGTGCTCTTGATTTCTGTGAGCATCTCCTGGCTCTCCTCCTGTGTACTCCTCAGCATCCTTTCCTGCCTGCCTGCCTGCTGTCCCTGTACCTCTCGACCGCCTTTATAGTGTCTACTCCCTAGATCACTGAACCCCCACGACCTCAGATTTTATCTCCGTTCTTCCCATGAGCCCCAAGGGGATGTATGGTTAGATACCCACCGGATAGCTGCAATGATATCCACAAGGAACTTAGTTGAGCGCTGTGTTGTTCAGCCTGTTTTTCATGAATCCTTATCTTAGAGATCAGCACACAACCCACCCTGTCACCCATGTCAACATTTTCTACTACTCCCTCTCCAGATGTTAATTTGCTCATGGTGTCTTGGCTCTAAGCCATTTTCATCCCACTGCCTTAGATTAGACCTTTCTTATGTCTTGGACTTCTGAAATAACCTCTTACTTGCCCTGCTGCTTACTTCCCATCAGCCTTTGCCCTTTGCTGCCAGAATTCCTCACTACCTATGGAGTAACATCCAGACCGCTGCCTGGGTCTAGCATAGAAGCCATGGCTTCACACTTCTGAAGCTTGTCCTCTAGTCTTAGCCCAGAAGAAGCTAACTGCGCAAAGACTTGTGCCATCTGACTTAAATGAGTCTTTACACTTGTTGTTCCCTGTACCCAGAATGCTTGTGTCATCTTCGAGCCAGCTCACGTACCTTCCGGGCCTGAAGCACAGCTGCCCCGCCTTGTGCTGCTTCTGTCACAGCTCTTACCACATTATATTTACCTCTAGATTAAGCTCCTGGAAGAAATGAACTGCCCTGAACAGCAACAGTCACTTTTGAACATAAGACACAGAGGTAGCACTGCAAAGCGGTTAAGAGCACTCTGGTGCCCAAACGTCTGGACAAACATTTTGGTGCCACGCCGTGCCAGAATGTACTTACATTCTGGTTGCTTTGCCCAAGACTCCCATTTCCTCACGTGTAAACAGAATACTACACCTACTTCAAAGGTTGCCGCGGAGAATAAATTGAGTTAATGCCAAAAAAACAAAAATGGAGCTTTTTGTTGCTGTGTAAGAATGGCCCAGGTTCTCAGCCATAAAGAGGCGTGTCCTAGTACAGTGGTACATATGGGGTTTTAAAAAAAGGTAGATCTTAATTCTCAGAAGCCGAAATTAGTTAAGTCATCTGTTGCCTTTTATGGTGTAATCAGGTTTGGTTAATTTTCACTTGGTATTTTGGCTTTCATTTAAAAGCTAATGAAAATCTATAGCTGATGAATAGTTTTAAAAGATGCCCATTATTGTCAGTGCACATGAAGAATACCCATTAATACTTAACCACTGAGAACAGCTGCTCCTCTTGTGGCTTCAAATAAGCCAACTTTAAATGAAAGTTGAAGATTTTTGTACAAGATTTTTGAGTATCTTATCAGGGGAAGGTTTGAAAAGCCAGGACCCGTGTAGCTACTAGGGCCCCAACAGGAATGTTGAGTCCTTTCTTCCCTCACAAATACCACCATTAACTTAAAACTTGAGACTGTGCTTCTGTTGCTATGGCCAAGGGTAGCAGGGCTTACTGCGTTAACCAAGATAGGCAACTGTTCCCAAAACAGCTTATTGTCACCATGTCTGTCTACAGTTCCCAAGTTTTAGTGTGAAAATCACAATTTGAAAGGGCCAACTGATACCATCTTTTGGAAAAAGGATATGGTGACAGTACCAGCTAGTCTCCTGACTGCTGACCATGGAATTCAACCCTAGAAATCCAGCCTACTAAATAAACCCTTCCACAGAAGGAAATCAATTCTGTATTGAGCAGGCCTGGATAAGTTGGTTTTCCTTTTTATAGATGAGAACATAGGATGATAGGAGAGGGCTGGCCCTCTAGGTTGTTCAAAGGCCACACAGCACTACCAAGCATTATTAGTAAGGGGCCAGTATAATCCTACCTAAACAGACTGAGGCAGAACTGTCGTCAGAGGCCTTGGCAACTTAAGACCGTGTCTCAAAAGTTTAAAAGGGCTAGGGTTTAGCTCAGTGGTTACTGACCTAACAGACTACTCTTGTACAGTCTTGAAGTTACGAAGGATGCATTTTAGAAAAACGGTCTTGACACTAAGAAACTATATAGTGGTAGGGTTGTGGGAATCAGTATTTTAAATAACTTTATTTTCTTCTCAGGTAAACTATGTTGCTACAAATTCTGTATTACTAAATCCAATGTTCTGTTCCGTTGTGAAGTCTGCACTTGACAGGCAAAGGAACTGGACAGGGAAGCCCTGTACAGGGCAGGGGCCTTATGTACCACCTTACATCCTCCCTCCAGGCTGTCCAGCTGACATTTTTTTCCTGTGGAATACTTACGCTCTGAGATGTCTAGCAGGGGAGGGGAGAAGTGGCTGTCTGCATGTTCTCTACTCCTCTTAAGCTCATCTAAGTATTTTACTTACACAACACCTACAACTTTCTAGGCACTGCTTCTCTCAGCATGGGATTCACAATAAATAAAAATCTGTGCTCTTCACACTTTTTATAATGAGGGAGCTGGAGAAACAATGGATTGCACACAGTGGGCAGGGACCTGAAGAAGTGAAGACTGAACCAGGTGGATCCCCCTGGTGAGAAGCAAGGGCTTAAAACAGGGTTTTCTAAAGAGCAGAACTGAGTACGTATTTGTGTGTTAAAAATACACATCAGAATATACAGGCAATTATGGAACCTATTTACCTCTCCTTTTCCCTACCATGAAATCTCTTATTTGTAGTTAGGGATAGTCCTTTTTTTTTTTTTTTTTGAGACAGGGTCTCACTGTGCAATTTAGGCTGGCCTTGAACTCGTGGCAATCCTGCCTCAGCTTCCTGAGTGCTGACATTACAGGTGTGCACCACACCTGGGCCGACACGTTTTTTTTTGGTACTGGGAACTGAGCTCAGGACCTTGCGCTTGCCAGGCAGGCACTCATGCCACTGAGCCGTATCACTGGCCCGACACTTTTTAAGACACTCAACTGAAAATTAGAAGCTGAATTTTCTTCTCACATGCAAAATGTGGCTCTTGATCGAAACCCTCAACTACCTTTACTTTGTCACTTCCTAGCAAGCTGAAGTTGGTGACAGGCAAGTAGAGGTTTCAGAGGTGGACATTACTGCAAGGAACACAGAGCAACCCATCATCTTCAGTCTACAGCTTTCAACCAAATAGCATCTTTACTGGAATACTATAAATGGACGAATCACTCCTGAGTTTGCTTTGAGCATGAGGTTAAAAAAAACGGCCAACATAAGTGCTTTCTGACTCTTTCACTAAAAGGTGAAGTCCCATGCCCTCCTCTAAGGAGTCCCAGTAAGTATAGAAGTGAACAAAACACACATGACATACACACAAAAGCACCAGAGTACTGGTTACACAAGAGGCACTGATCCTTGCTTTATTCACGCAGTAATATCCAACATTGGGAATTGTGTGGGTGTAGATACAAAATAAGGAAAACGGGGTCATAAACAGCAGCTAGGCTCATCATGGCAGTGGTAGCAACTCAGCCAGTATGGGGTCTTCTCAGGAAGACCTACTCAATTGAGGGGAAGTTCCCTTCACCACTTCACAGCCCAAGTACTTGACAACACTGGCCTATATTTTAAAATTAAAGGTCACAGTGATTAAAAACAATGAGGTCAAGACATTCAGGGC